CCCCCCACCCGCATCATTGATGACCATCCTGCATCTACAGTTGACCGCATTCTGGACGTGCAAATAGGTAGAGGGTTCCAATACCTTGTGGACTGGACTGTTATGGTCCAGAAGAGCAATCATGGATCCCTCGCTCTATCATTTTGGATCCCTCTCTTATAACTGATTTTTRCAGGGACCATCCAGAGAAGAGGCCCAAATCGCCTGGAGGTGATTCTTAGGAGGAGGGTAATGTTAAAATTGGCAGTTGTTACTCTCTTAGATGGTGATTGGCTGTTTCCCCGGTTGTGTGTATCTGCTGAGGATTCTCCTAATGAGCCACTGGGCTTTATAAGGCAGGTTTATGGGGTGGCTGTGGCAGAGTGGTTAGGGGAGTTTTCCTGGAACCGGAAGTTCACCGGTTTGATTCCCCGTCCAGCTATCTCAGTTGTAGTGTCGTTGGGCAAGACACTGCACCCCTAATGCCTCTGATGTGTGTCCCATCAGTGTATGAATGTGACTGGCACTGATTAGTCTCCATAGTTGATTGTACATGTTAGCTTTGTAGGAGATCTGATAGAGTGCTGTGTGAATGGGTAAATGAGGGCACAGATTGTAGTGTAAAGCGCTTTGATTGTCCTGGATGGATAGAAAAGCGCTATGTAAATACAGTCCATTTACCATTTATAAGGCATCTGGACTGCCAGGTCTTCGCTGACACATCATACCTCTTTGGTAGTATTTAGCCACATTAAGTATTTTTGCTAAATGTTTTGTTACTTACCTTCATGTCCTTGCTGACTGTCCCAAGCTCGTTTGCCTGTCAAGAAAGAGACCTCAAGTAAAGTTTGACAATCGGACACTCAAGCTCAAGCCAACACTTCAAGTACTTCATCAATTCTCTGCCAAGCTGCCAAAGGAAACCTCACCTGTGTTTTGGATCCCTCCTCTGTTCTGTGCTGCTCGCCTCCTGAAGACCTTTAAGAAAGAGAATTTAATTATTAATCAATCATTCTGGAAACAAGATTCTCAAGCTTCAAAATACTCACCTCTCCCTCTCGTTCCCTTGCAGCTGATGTCCCTTTGCACCACACCTGTAAATAAAAGCACTTACCTTTTCATATATTCTGTCTCCTGGTCTGGTCTCTCGGTTCTGCTATCTGTTGAACATTACAAATCATATCAATTTTGAGGTCTTCAAATCAAATGCTGTTGGTGATCCCTCAAACCCATTATAAAACCTGTGGAGACAAAGCTTTTAAGGTGGTGGCCCTTTGGCTATGGAACACTCTCCCTCTGTCCCATTGCTGCTCAGATTCTACTGACTCTTTAAAGAAACATCTTAAGACATTTTTATTCAGACAGGCCTTTAGTTAAATGCTGTTTGCTGTGTTTAATTGTTCTTTATTATATTTGTGACCTGTTTTTTATTGTTTTTAKTTATTTTGCTCTCTGTTAAGCACTTTGTGATGTCTGTGTCTGTGAAAGTTGCTATATGAATAAGATTTACTTACTTACATTTGCTTTTGGTTGTCCCATGGTCCAGACTGGTCCACAGAAATGATTGGGCCTTTTCAGTTTTGACTCCTAACCTGTGGAACCAGCTGCCCCTTCACATCAGACAGGCTTCAACTCCCTTAACAAACACATTTGTTTTCCAAAACCTTTAATTCTGCATGAGTTGACTTTTTCCACTTCTAAAGTTTAGTTTTATGTTTATTATATATTTTTGTTCTTAACTTTTCATTTTATTTTGTCTTTTTATTAGTTGTAATATGTGAAGCACTTTATTAAGGAGCATGTCACCTGAAATAACACTGATCTTTGGAAGTGTGCTGTGTTTGTTAAAGTAACTTCCGTCTATTTCTCTCCCTGCAGTTCAGGTAAATTCCCCTGACCAACGTCTCAGAGTGTTTGACTCTGCACAGAGGAGGTGGCGTCAGGTCTGTTCCTCCCCATCCAATGAACTACTTGCCAGCATCAGCTGCGAGGAAGTTGGATTTGTCAGGTGAGATAAAGATAAATCATCATTATGAAGGACAAAATATAAATTTTAGTAGACGTTTGAATTTTAAAATGGCTATACTAAAAAACTAGTTTGTAATGATCTTAACAGAACCCACATTCTATAAAATAATAAAAATAAAAAAAAATTGATAAAGAGGTAAAGGTTGAATTGCTCTAAATAATTTCCTCAATGGTTTGTCCTTTTTTGCTTTAAGTTTCACGCTGTTTAGAGCATTAGCACGCTTTCGATGCAGCATCTTTCCATTTGCATGGTTTAATGAAGTCCATACTTTACTGTCTTTCTACAGCAGGGGACCCAGAACATCAGTCTTGAATGCTGTAAAACCCCAATAAATAAATAAATAAATAACAAGATTTTTTTCACTTCTTATTTGCTACATTTACACCAAACGTGTTGTTTGCCTCCAAGAATCTCAAAACATTTGCCTCCTGACGCTGGTGTCCAATGAAGACAGACACATTTGATGTGAACGTGGTCAMGTGTCTACATTTACATCAAATGCGTCTGTTCTAGTTAGTTTAAACACGATGCTTCATTGTAAAAATAAAATGCTGCACCGGAGCATCCGATCAGAGGCAGGCTCAGATGTAGACAATGAACTAAACAAGAATGTCAGATAATTATTTAATCAGCGTCAGCACCTAAACACATAAATTTGTGTTTCAGTCTGGAGAATGAATGGCCTCATGCAAGAACATGTTCATATTCTTATCCTAAATTTCTCTTACTTTTGTTCGTACAAAGGGTTCGTACGAACA